TTTCCTGCCCACATCAGCCTCGTCGCCCTCTTGGTCATCCCCAAGCATGAACTGACGCTCATCCCCCGTCGTCGGCCCCAGCCCTGGCCTCACAGCAGCTCTCGGTGTCGTAGAGGACGACAATGCAGATGATGGGAGAGGTTGTCGTTGTCTTGGAGGTGGAGGTGATTTAGGTGGAGGCGACTTGGATGTGGTATACGACAGTGACTGGGCTGCAATAGCAGCGTTCACCTGTGTCTGGTGTGACACAGGGTTGGTTTCTGGTTTTCGTGAGAAGCTGCTGCCCCGCATCTGTAATTGAGGTCGGACGAAACCACCTGCGCCCGCTGCACCTCCTAGCCCCTGTCCTACGGGAGCGGGCCCAATAACGTCCACTGGATCGATGTTTGTCCCTTGTGCTTGTGCGTGATGGCTAACGGGGTTTGGTGTTACGATGCTGTTTGCTGAGAATGGGAGCACCGATGATGATGAAGTGGAAATGGGGCCAGGACGATTGTGTCCACCACCACCAATGTCTAGCCCAGCGATGATGTCGCTGATCCAAATCCATGCTTCGCTCCCGTGGTACTTCATGCTCTCCACAGAAAATTGGGGTATTTGATCGAAGCCGCGGAGCTGGAGGACGTAACAATTGTAAAGTGTGCCCAGGACAGTATAGGTCATAAGGAGGACGAGGAAACTAAGCCTGTTGTAAGTTACTTGGTATTGATATGAGGCAGAGATACGCACATGACTGCTGTGATTGCGATGAAACCCCAGAACCCACCGCTTTCGCTGGTTGGGCAAGCTAACTGTGAGTAGAGTTTGTTAGCTTCAACAGGATTGATAAAGTCGAATCGGCTTACATGGGTTCTCCATTCAATCATGTACCCGCAACCAATTTCATCACTACCAGGAGGCAGCTGTGCTACAAGGAGGGGTTCTCCTGACCCAAAGACGGACAAGTCGCATATGAAGTCAATGACTGCTGAGGCCCGGACGTCCGTAGGTTTTTCGTCTTTCGTTGTGCAATGTGAGCCTTCTGAGATGGTGATGCGGGGTTTGGAGTCGAATACACTGAGTGTGGTGTTAACCTTTCTGTCGGGTCAAAAGTATACATGAGTTTCCGTTTTCAACGACAGTAAGACTGTAACTGACCCGAGAGCAAAGTCGCCATGGCCTCTCCGTATGAAAGCAGCGACGTCCGCTTGGGCTATACTTGATAAATCAGGAAAACGTTACGTCATCAAACGAGAATACTTCCCGGGAAGCAGACCGTCCTCAAAGTCGATTACCACGCAATGACATTGTCGAGAATATGGCTATCGAAAAAACTTGATAAAGGGGAGATGGCGCCAGATCGAGTCGAGGAGATCGAGGATGACAGAAGGCAGCAAAATATGCGAGCAAGCTGCATGATTGAGTCATCAATGCATCACCCATGATGCTACCGCACTGTGGGCAGTAGATGCACCCAACTACGGTGTGACATCACTGATTCCGGCTTTTCGGCGCTTGGATACGGTGCACATGCTCAAGTGTGGAGGTTCGCTTCGAAATCAACACTTGGAACAAGCGACTGCAGATACACTGATCTGAGTACACCCAATCTGACTGCTAGCCCAAGCACCACATCCGAGTGTCTCTGCATTATTGCAATCTTCAACGTCCGAATCCAGCGCCGCCACCGCTAGCATAGCTGTGGAATTACGAGACCAAGATTTGGAGGATGAAGTCCATTCTGCTCGCATGTCAGCTGGGGATGAGGAGTTTCGAGGGGTTGGCAGGCCAAGTGTGTTCAAACCCTTCTTACGGTTCACAGGCTCAGCGCTCATCTTTGGAAGGGTTCGGGCAAAGGCCGTCTTTTCTGAGGTGCGTTGCAATTTCCTTTTCATAGTTGTTTGGTCTTTTTATTCACTCTGTCAGGCAGGTCATCCTCCAGGCGTTGACAACGACGATCAACCACAAGCACCAGCACCATCACATTCACTCGTTATCCGTGCAGTAACTCCTCCATACGCCGCATGGCCAGCTCAGCCTACCACTTGGTTCCAGGCGGAAGAGCCGTCGCAAACTTGTATCTACGTGCCGTTGCTCGTCGTCGTCAATGGCGTCCTCAAGAACTGCGCAACATCTCACGCATCCACGAGGCTGCTTGAAAAAGGTTGGTAAATGTTTGTAATTCTGGTGTTCACGGTTACTTACACCTTAAAAGGGCGCCCTTTTCTTTCGTCCCCAAGGCCAATGAACTACATGATCGTAGCTTTGAGGCCCGTAGTGATCATTCAAACAGGGGCGGTGTGAAGCGCCACGTGAAGTTCTGTTGAATCATGAAGTGGGTCATGTATTGCTAACCTACGGAGGCGTGCTCACATACTTTCATCGTAAGGGCCAACATACAACAAAGGTCGTGGCGCACCTGAAATCGACATTTCCGCAGCCTCCAAGAGCAACGTGTCTGGTGTAGGTCAGACAGTGTCGCAGAGTGCCCAACTTCCGCCATCTTCCACCGATTACCTTTACCTCAATGCGACCCCGCAAGAGTGACAAAATTTGAACACTCGGAATCCTTGAGCGAATACGTATGCTGTGTGAGTGCTCCCCCTTGCGTTTGGATAAGCTTATATTTATTTGATGCACCAGGCAACAGTCGGTGTTTGGCATCAGGATCCTTTTCGGCGATATGTTCCAAGGTTCTTGGGGCAACTACGAGAAACTTGGTATGTCTTTGTGCTCGTAGTCCGTATGTTTGATGACATCTTTGTACGCAGGTTTTGTATATTGGTGGGATCCCATCGGTAGGTTGGACGGGTTAGACAGGATTCCTATGCACCGGGTTGGAGCTGCTGCTGTCGGCCCCGACCAGGGCTCAAGTGGCAATGGTGTCTGGCAGAGGTTGAACACATGTCGATTGTTTTCAACCTGACTATTTCACGTGAGCGGTGAGTTTGACTCCCTTACTAATTCGCGTTGCTGTCTAATTTCTTTATAGTACTAGGGTGGATGCTAGCCGCGTTGTGCTCCTTGCTATCGCCTGTAAGGGATCATGCCAATCTCACGCCGTGCTGTTGTACAATAGCGCTCGCCCATCAAAACCAACCAGTCCTCGCTGCCTTTCAGAACATATCCCATTGTCAGATCTCCCACTCACTCGTTAACCATGGCCATCCTTGTCTTCTTATGCCAGGCTTTGTCATATACATATTGTTTCCCTGCTCAATTGGTCCTCGTCCCCCCCTGTGGAGACATGCATGTTTTGGTCATGTACCCATTCGTGCCACCTTCCATAGTCCACATCCGGACCTTTCGCACTCTGTCACTCCTCGTTCATCCAACGTGGAGCCCCTGCTCAGGCAAAGCAAATCTCTTTCACGTGAATATGCCGGGGGAGCAAGTTTTAGGGGTTTCGTACATTATGAGTAATAGGACTAAATTGAAACTTAGCAATCAGCCTCTGAGAGATCCGAATAGTCATCTACCCACCTAGCCTGACTCCTGTATGACAGTTAAACCTATTTCCTCAACCGCCAACACCATGCTGTGCACCACAAATAAAGTTGCGTTCAAAAGGTCACGTGAGTATGACATACTAGGTATTCAATGGCGCGGTCACGGGGTCGCTCAGCGCTCACACATCTCTCCGTCCTACGCTCAACGACGGCAGCGCCTCGTCGTTCCATGGCCAAGGATCGCAAAAAAGAGAACAAGAGGCTTTTGCAAGAGCTCGAGAAAACAAAAGGCCTACTTGGTGTGTTGTGCTGCCGACATCTGCACTGTTCTTACGCGTTCATAGCTGCTGAAAAGGCGAGCAAGGCTAATGCTCATTCAAATTCAGTACCAAGGCCTCGAGGAGCTGCTGGTAGGAGGATTGGAACATTATACAAGAGGCCATGGGCTTAGATGAGAATGGTGGACGATATCTTCGGCTCACAGTGAGTGCCTACCACCTGTTTGATGCATATATGCGCTATTAATAGTTGAATTTTTGCAGCGCTTGGCTATAAGATACATTACGGAGCATCTTTCAAGTTTCTATAAGGTGATGGAAGCAAAAGCTGGGGTTAGTTGAGAGAGTCATCCATGGCCACCTGGTGCGTATTTACCGGCACTAATGAAGTTACTAAGGCATACAGTTTCTTTTGTTTCTTAGATTCAAAACGACATCAAGCTTCTTTGTAGGATCCGTCGTAGTCGGCCAACTGACGACATGATACAGCAATACCTACTGAATTGCCGAGATCGCCAACGTCGTGATGTCAAGGCGGAGAAGCAAGAGGATGATGACGATGAAGATGAGTTTATGGGTGGCTGTGACGATCGTAGATGGGGATTCTGAAGAAGATGAGGGTAGTCCCGCATCGACGAAGGGGAAGGGAGTGCAAATAGTAGAGAGCAAGGAAAGTGGTGAGGAGGGACCGGTTGATATGAAGGGGGAGGGGAAGTTGATGGTTGCAAAGAGGAACGGGAAGAAGAGGGTGGCCAGGGAGGAAAGCAACGAAGAAGAATCTGCGGATGTGAAGGGGAAGGGGAAGAAGAGGGCGACTAGGGATGAAAGTGACGAAGGCAGAGTCCACGGTTACAAAGGGTAAAGGGAAGAAAATAGTGGATGACGAAGAAATTGGAGGGGGGGATTCAGATGAGGATGATTTGGAAACAGAGGAACCAAGGCGGAAAGTCCGAGCTTCAAACTTCAAAGACAAGGTAAGTTGAGGTGCTCTCCGGGCTGCCACTCTCATATATGCATCTAGTTATCAACCAAAAAAGCGGTTCCAAAGAGGCAAATTGTTGAAGAGGCCGTCCGAAATGCAAAAGTTGGGCGAGCGTTTCAATTTTAACCAAATGTCATGCTCGCGACACCTGCTAATGATCAATTTCAGATGATCCATCAATGGTAAAATTGAGGACGAGATTCTTGATGATCTTCATCACAAGAACATGGCGAAGCAATCATCGGGCACCAGGGTACGTCATTTACAACTTTGAACACCTTCACGGCTGAGATTAATGTTACTTGGACGCTCCGACATGAAATGCCAACCAGTATTGTCCCATGGCGACATGAGAAGGTGCGACGCCATCTTTTTATTAGCTATATACGTCGGCTCCGGGCTAGCACAGTGCACAGAAACATCAAGCGGTATGTCGCCCATCTCCGGACAATTCCTTACGCCCCGCGGTAAGCTTTGCAACGCCGCATTCTGTATCATTTTCACCACCATCCACAGCAACCACCACAGAGAAACGCGACTCCGGGCCCATCAAAACCCCGTGATGTTTGGACGGTCGTTACGCTTGCCGAATACCCATCTGTAAGTGATTTTTCATGTTTAACTTATGTGCATGTTATGCCACAAAATATAGCCTTCACACCAAGCGCCGCCGCCAAGGACTACACGCCGCCGACGCACACGCAAAACTTGAATCGCTAACTGTTGACTTCAATGACCTGATGAGTACTTTGTCGCACTTCACTGGATGCTCTCCTCTCATTACTTCGAAATCTCTCTTAGTATTGCTTCTCTGTACTACTGATGGACTTGATACAAGTGGTACATTTCTAGATCCTTTGTTACTTGTACGTTCCTGTGCTTAAAATCACTGTATATACCCCAAATGAATGTTGAATCACATTCTAAATTGGTGCATGTTAATACACCTGAATTGAGTGAAACGACACTGATTCCATGGTGCTATTTTGGGCTGATCAGTGCTTAAAACACCACGGATTCACTGTTTTTGGAGTTAGTGCTTCACTCGATCCAAGTGACAAACACACCATAGGTGAGTGCTTGGTCACTTGGCTCAAGTGTATCTGATACACTCAGGTGAAGTGCAAACGCTTCCCACAGTGACCGATGCTGCTCCCTCCACCCGATGCACTCGTGGTGCTGCCACCTCTGCCTTTGATGCTCCCCTCCACCAATGGCGCCATGCCTCTCACCCATGATGCCTCTCCAGTGCGCTGGTAACAATGTGGATAATAACGGCTCTGACTCTGTGACCCCTCCAATGACTTTCGGTCTTGTGAGAGACTGTGCGCCAACGTCGGCTACTTGCTTGCTTCTAAATCCGGAACAAGAACAAGACAGACTCCATTTTGCCATACTTCCTTCCCAAGCGAAGGGCACCACCAATATTCTGTTCATAATCACCCCCAAGTCATGTTGTCTCTTCCTAGTCTCGTCTCGATGTTGTGTCTTCCATGGGTCTCGGTGGGTTCTACAAGCTACCCTGTCCAAGGGGCTAATCAAACCCACATTGTTCTCACAGCATGCAATTTGTTTACAACATAGGCAACAAGTTCAGGGAATATCGTCGAGTTCAAGCTCTTCCTGGGACATTCCAAATTGCTCTCCATCCCATCTACGTGCCCTTTGCTGCTCCACTCTTCTTCATCCAGATTTCCTTGGGCTAGCCCGGCATCCTCTGCATGGGAACACCTTGCCCTACTGGCGTCAGAAAGACCAAGTACGTGGTCGAGTGATAGCTGTGAGTGCATGTCAGATTAGAACCATTTCCGCCTTTAAGGTTAATTTTCTTAACATAGGCAGTTACAGCCAGGATATTGCATCGAGGTCAACATCTCCCTGGAAATACTCGGATCGCTCACCTTCATCTGCGTGCTCTCCGCTGTCATACTCTTCATCGAACAGTAACCCACCAGCCGCTTCTTCTTCGCCTAGGACCCAGTCTCCTGCACTACAAGCGTCAGAACGACCAACAAAGCTGGGTAGTGCTTCCGTTGATGCAAGAACTGTGCGGTCAGGCGATGGCTGTGAGTACAGCCGGATCAGAGTCGTACCTACTTTGGAAGTGATTTTCTTATTATAGGGTGGTGGCAGTTGGGGAACAACATCACCATTCCAGAACATCCCATGTTTCTCTCCATACCCACCTATGCACCCTTCATTGCCACACCCTTTTGGGCCAACCTTCCGTCGAAAGTTCTGTCGTCTTCTTGTACCGCCCAAGCCGTGGATACTTCTTCATATGAGTGCAGGCCAACACATCGAACACTAGGCCACTCCTGGGAGCATCGAGCTGCCCAGCTATCAGATTCACGGCTTTTTGAAAACACACCAACACAAAATTATGGCAGAGATCTTACAGGCGGAGATCCCACTGGTCATTCACTGATTCATCCACCAAAGCATTCAATTCCTCTTCTGTCAATCTTGATAGGGACGCTTCTTGGACATTTGTAGATACCCAGAATGAACCCCGCTGTCACTCATTTGCCACTGGGACTCCCAGATCCTTTGGTGTAGTAGGTCTCAAGAGCGACTCAGCTCAACAAAACTCAGAGTGTCTTTTGTCCGATAGAGCTACTAGTAGTTCTTCACTTCACGCTGGTCCAAAAGCATTAGGCAAAATCATTGGAACATTGCCTAGCAACGGTTCAACTTCTCCACCGAATCATTAGTAATGGATGCTGTTGAAACTTGATCCCACTCAATGACCCTGTAGAGCCGCCAGTCGCACGGCAATGTTGTCCAACTTCTACTCGCATTCAAGGTATCACAGGCCAGTGTTGGACTCACGAAACTAAGTTGTGGCAGGCTCTTGCCCCCCTAGCAACCCTCCTATGATGTTTGAGGCGAACCCTCACTGACTCGTCGTCCATGAGGCCCCTCAAAAACCTTCGCATCTCACAAATCACACACAGCCTGTAACATGGCTTTGAAGCATTTTCGGTGCTCCGTTTCTTGCTTTTCCTTATCTTCGCCACATCAAAAACCCCTCCAGTTTTCTACTTCTGGCATGTGGGCCATTGCTTCCGAGCATTACAACTCGATGAGTCCCTTAAATAGAAAACTATGATGTGTGGCTGGATTCTGCAGTGGTTGTTCTTCGTTAATAGCAATATTTACAATATTTGCGTATCTGCGTATCCCGTCGACCAGGGAAGAGGTCTCAATCAACGAGGAAGACCAAGTGGTAAATACGCTAAACCAGTAGTAAGAAAGAGAATCCATGTAAGTGGCCTCGCGATCCTTGGCCCGGGAAACCGCTGAACCCAGATGGACCTCCATGGAAATGGGAAAACAGTTCCGCAAGGTCCATATGACCCATACTGCCCTACTTCCTGTACCACCCTCATTCATCCCATCTTCGTCTTCTCCCATATCATACCGATCACGGCGTTGAGGGTCGGACTCGGGGGCAGGCGTTCGCCTCCACAACAAGCTTTGAACTTCTCTTCGTTGCCAACCTATTGTCGTCAAGACATGTCAGCTGGACTGGAGGAAAAGAAAGAGTATGTCACATACCTTATCCGGATATCTGGAATCAGGGTGATCGTCAGATTTCAAGCTGTGATGATGGAGTCAAGCTCTCCTGTCTAAAAGCTTTCTTGATCTCAATCTCCGTGCATTCCCTTGTCAACCACAAGATTTTGTAGTAATCCTTCATCTTACTCCTCTTCAGCGCCGCCTCTGCCTTCTTCAGATCAACTTTGAGCGCAAGAACGTCAACCTCAGAAGCACTGCCCTCTGTAGTGACGTGTTTTACGGCGGATTTGAATTCGGCAGAGGCGTCATACTTCTTGAGGTGAAGGTTGATCCGTGCTCTGGTACGAAGCGCTGTGAAGGATTTGGGTGAGATGGATAGCGAGGTATCCATATTGGCAACCAGGGCTTCCATGTGTCTCTCAGCCAGCTAGAAATACCCTCGTGAGTGGAAGGGGAGAAAGACACGCAAGGCTTCAAAGGGTTTGTAACGCAATTCCACAGCAAGGTAGCGCGGATCTGGCACCTGTGCCTTCCTCCTCCAATGAGCCGATGCAGTATATAGCGAGGTAACTTGTGAAGACGAAAGACGCAAGAGTCACCTACTCATCCAGAGTTTCCGAGTACAATCGTGCAGCTTGGCCTGTTTGAAAACCACGTTCCCCTCCTCCTTCAGCCGCTCCACGTCTTTGGCACGGTTGCGTAGTGACTTCTGGATCTGCTGATGGCCAGAATCAAGATGGCATGTGTGTCAGCACTTGGGGTAGCCTGCAGTGGGGAACAGCATTAGTCCTCAAAGACCCAGGACATCGGGTGAATTAGGGAGGTCTTATCAGTGCCCCCCCTAATTCCTGCAGGAATCCGGTCATTCCTGCGGATTCCAGTGGATTCCGGAGGAATAAAATTTGGCAGGGAGGCCTGCAATTTTTTCATTCCGGTGCCTTATCATTCCGGCGGAATTTGGGCATTCCGGAATTGACACCGGAATGTTCCGCGGAATCCACAGGAACGGAACACAACGGAACGGAATGCAATGGATTTGTTTGGATGTATTGTTTGTTTATTTCACTTGTGTTACCAAACAAAGCCAACATTCATTCCTTCCCATCCCCCACCATCACGTTTCTCCTCCGCCCCCTTCTGACCGCCCATCTAGGATGACGACCACGACAACCACAACGGCGGCACATGACCCGTTAACGGGCATGTAACAACGAGACGACCAGGCGAGCACGTTGTGGCAACGAGGCAAACGAAGGCGTGGCAGAGAGACGACGACAAACCACGACATTGGTTCATCGTCATTCATCCTCTTTGCAACCCTGTGAGTCCCCTTGCCGCTTTCTCATTGCTGACGGGTTTTTCAAGTGCAACGTCGCCCATGGCGACGAAATCATCTACATCCAACTAACAACAGACACGACGACCACCCACTGCTCAGGAAAACACCCCACCACCCTCGAAAACACCCCAGCTTCCACGAAAACGACACGCCGCCCACGAATCAATGCCCAGCGCCCATCTACACTGCCAGCGGACATAGAAACAGCCCACCACACTCACGAAAACACCCTAGCGCACACGACAACCCCATGCCACCCATGAAACGACGCCCAGCACCCATCTTACACCGCCATCGCACACGAAACAACGCCCAGCATACACGAAAACCCCACGCCGCTTAGGGTTAGGGTTAGGGTTAGGTTAGGGTTAGGGTTAGGTTAGGGTTAGGGTTAGGGGTTAGGGTTAGGGTTAGGGTTAGGGTTAGGGTTAGGGTTAGGGTTAGGG